TAACATCCAGTCTTTTTATGGAAATCACAATGCACATGGTTAAAACTAAGTTTACTTAGATGTTATTTGCTAATAGTTAATCAAGTTTAAATTATTACTTACGTGAGGCAGTATCAGTTTATACTGTAAATAAGCATAAGAGGGTGAACATGCTATGCTTCAACACATCTGTGAATCATTCAGAAAAATGGAAGACAAGGTTGATGAAAGACTGATATTTATTCTGGTTCTTTAAAAAAAAGATGATTTTCCTTAAAAAAAAAGAAAGGAAAGAAAACAAACAAAAATAACAACAACAAAAAAACAATACCCCTAAGAGTAAGAGTAATGGGGGTTACAGGCAATTCAGGGACTTATGTCAAAGACTTTAAGCATTGAAAATGTATTCACAGAATTAAAATAACATCTGGTTATAATATTATGAGTAAGGGTGTACAACTGTTTTTAATTTTTATAGCTTATGTTAAAAACTGAACTTGAACAAAAATGACTGGACATGGCATTTCGGGATGTTTGTGCTTAAAAACCCAAACAAAAGTATAATTGATTTCTAAGGTAAATTGGGGATTAACATTGTAAGACAAGCTTTTGGAAATAATGTGATAATATATTTTTATACAAAATACACTCAGTTCTTTTGTGGGGACTCAAATGGCACAGGATACTTGGAAAGACCTGCAACAACAACAATGGCTGTTAGGTGTGACAGAGGTGCACCTTAGACAAACTCAAATTCTGTCAACAGCACACAATGTTGTCAAAATATCACAACAGAGTCCACTGATATACTACCAAAACAATGTTCATATAATAATATTTTTTGTGAAGAATAAACATAGATGACAGGTCAGAAAGATTGTAGGGAACAAGAAAGCAACAATTAAAAGAGCATGACAAGAAGTGTAAATGTGTCCTTGGAAAAAAAAAACCCAGAAACTTTAAGTTTTACAAATAAATTTATGACTAGTTGTGTTTTTCATACACAAATCCATCTTATCCTAATTCAGATATTGTTTTTAAGAAAAACACCTTCTGCTGTGGCTCTAATGTATGAAAACCTGTCAAAAACACACATTTGTGTGTGCAAGGTTGAGATGAAAAACTATTTTTTATCTCATAATCAGACAGTTAATTCCATAAGGAAAAGAACTTGTGAAATTAAACATTTATTGGAGGAAAAGATGGACACAATGTAGAGGGATAAAACTAGTCCTGTAGCTGCATGGAGATGGAGCTACTTACCCTAACTGACCAATCAACGTTTACAAGATAAATTGTAGGAGACTTAAGATTATAATACTAAAAATCTTAAAACAATGGTCTGGATGACTTGTTACCTTTAAATATTTGTAGGTAAATACAATCACAGTTTTAATTGTAATTTTAGATGAAATACATTGATGTTCCTTTTAATTACAGGGGAATTACGCGTTAGTCGTGGGCTATATTATAAAGTGTTGCCATGTTTTTACCTTCTGTGATAAGTAGACTGATTTTACATGTACTGAAATGTGCTATATAATTGTCATTGTCATCTGAATAAACCATGACTAAACTCATGAAATAAAAGCATTAAAGTAGATCGAAATATATGTAGAGTGATGTGAATCTCTTTCAGTTTTTCCTCAAACTTCTCTGCTAGCCTCAAGATTTAAAACATTAAAAGAGACAAATGTCTTACAGAAATAAAAATCCAGAATCCCTTTTAATGACATTCACAAAATCAAAGTCAAATGTCACCAAAGACCAAATAAAAACAACTGAAAAGGATTGAGACCAAATCAGATGTTTTTTTGTTTTAAACAGTACTTCCTCTGGTAAGACCTGTTTGTGTCCAGGTTTCTGCAGTTTCTACCTGGTCAGCAAATCTGAAACATTAAAAAGAGAGAGCAAAGGTTTGACAATAAACAATAACCAATGAACATAATATAATTTCTACATTTTTAAAATTTTAATATTGCTTGTAAAACTCCTCACACTAAAGAATACTACTGGCTATACTTAGTTTAAATGTTGAATTGCAGATTCCCCTAAAATGGACTCATTGCAGCTTCTGAGCTGATCATCATACTTTGACTTAAAATAAATGTTAACATTGTTAAGAGCAAAAATTGTTTATTTTTTGTAAAATTTCAAATATTTAATGTAATACCATTGATAACATATTAGGAGTTACCCAGTAAGAGACACTTCATCATCTGGAGTGCCTGGAAGTTCATCATAACGTTTCTTCACCATATCAAGCTCTGTTGAAACATCTGAAACACAAATTAGAATTTTTGTGAATCAGTAATTTATAAGTTAATTTAAAAAAAATAGATAAATAATTACATAGACTAAGTTATCAGGTGCAAGATTGCAAAGATAAAGAGAAAAGGATGGAAGCATTATCAAGCACTTGGAACCAATGTAATTACAGCAAACTGTCCTGTTTACCTGGGAGTAAGCTCCCATCAGTCTTGAATGAGAGTTCAAAGGATTCCTTCATAGTAGTCTCCAGAATCTCAAGGATGTGTCTCTAATTTTAAAAAAATGTATTCACTTATCACATATCAAATATTGTATTAAAGTCAAATTAAATTACATTTAGAAATTTCTCAGACTGGATTTAAAACATAAATGTCTATTCCAGTTAAACACAGAAAAAGCCTTCAGGTGAGCTATAACAAAATATGTTCATCATATTTCTTCATAAAACATGACAAACCATTAAATTGTGTAACTTCTCCAACATGGTATTTTTTGCCTGTTCAAACATGTCCTTCTTTGAGTGCACATGGTTCTTAATAGTCTCCCTCATGTTGTACAGCATGCCTTCTCCTCTAAATTTTGCAGCCTCTACAATAAGACAGAAAACTCCAATCAGATTTCTCTTGCTCAATAATGATAAATATAAATATGTGTTTTAGTGCCAAGTTGTGAATAATATTATTTCTTACTCTTGTAGCCTTCTTCCATAATGTTCTCAATTGTCTCTGTCAAACTGCTGTAGACTTTTTTCTTCTGTTCCCGGATCATTCTGTTCAGTTTTGCCTTAATTTTTTCTTCCTTAGACACAAATCATGAAATACGGATGAACGTCGTTTTAAATTACATCAAGCTATAAAACTAATTTTTCATTTTTTCCTTTTACTGTACTTTACTGTTTGAATTGATGTATAGGAACGTTTCATCTCTTACCTCTGTCTTGAGAAATCTGAGCTGCAGTTCAGTATTTTTGTACTTTTCAATTAGAGAATCAGTGTTAAGAGAAAAAGTCTTGATGACTCCGTTGAATGCTCCACGTTCTGAGTCATTTCTGAAACATGTAAATATTGTGGTTATTAATGGCAGAATTGTCAAGTTTATATTTTAAAATTGTGATATGTTATAAATTACATATCTTGAATAATATTATGTGACTGTTTAGAATTTGTCTTTTCTTACGGGAAGGTCTTTCTGAATTCTTCATCAATGCTGTCAGTCAGACATGAAGCCAACATCATGTTCAGGTTAATTAGGGTCCTGCTCTTTGGTTTGTGGACGCCACCATTCTCAACGACACACTTCAGTACCCTGTGAAAACCACCACCCTTCTTTCCCTAAAGCAAAAAAGAAAACAGAATTATTTAAATACATACTCCTGTAAAACCTGTTGTTTTGTTACAACTAGATTTAAAATACATACGTGATACAAGAAGTTCTTGAGTTTTTCTCCGTATGAACGTTTGGATTTCTCAACGCCATCATTAAGACATTTTTCAAAGGCCGTAATGGTCTCTTCCATTTCTTTGTTGATATTTGCAAGTTGAAGGATCATGTTTCTCTCAAGTTCTGAACACACCTCACCTTTTTTATCATCCTGAAAAACATTTGAAGGAATAAAACCATAAAAAAAATACTTATTATGTCTTATAGATCTATAAACTTCACTTGGCTTTAAGTCACTCTACTGTAAGTAAAACAGAACGGCAAAAATACATGAATCAATTGATCACTTAATAACCTATAAATTAATACATTACAAAAACATAATACAAAACACAAAGACATTTGAGAAATCCCACCATGTAAGAATTTGTTTTACTTGACCTTACCACTCCTCCGGAGTTGGCTCCTTGGATCAAAGCAAGAATCCCATAAGCTCCACTCACATAGTTTACTATCTCAGAGTGACAGTCATTGAGCTCTTGCAAAAATCCCTGAAGTTTGGGTATTTCTGTTAAGAAGAAATTTCAGTGCCACAGTTTGACATTACACACTATAATTCAAATTAAATAATTCTTCTTTCAGTCACAGCAAACTAAAACAACATGTGCATCAAGACTTCACCTACCAGTTTCTTCTGGATTTAGATGCTTCCCTTTTAGGAACTCTCTGGAGCTCACTGTGAACACTTTGAAACTGTCGTCAGTGAAGTGTTTCTGCGGAAAAATGATTTAATTTTAAAGCATCTTTGCAACTGTGGAGAGTCTTTACATTAGATTTTCTGTCAGCCTATAAAACTCACATTAATCTTGCTTCGCTTGTTGAATTCTTTCCTTACTCCATCCTTGGCTTGCTGGTTTCTCATTACTATTCCATCATGGATATGAGCTCGTGAACTAGAAGAAATGTGCATATCTGTACTGTTACCGTCATCACTATTATCATAACCATCACCATCATTAATTTGGGGCAGGCTGGGCGGTTTTGATTTATTCTTGGCCTTTAGGTGAAAATGTGGGAACCAAACTGAGCTTTGCCTGACTTTTGCACACCTGTAACTCTTTGTTAACACATAGATTGTATTTAAAGACTGGCTGTGGCAATGTTTCTCTGCCTGATGGTGCTGGTACTCCAGTTTGTTGCTTTCTATTTTTAAATGTCTGGTCTGGTTAATATCCTCTCATACTCCTACTTGCTAACCTGGGTTGTCAGAGCCTCACACCAAAATACTTACCTGTTCACTACAGTCTCCGTCTTTTTTTCTTCCAGCCAGTCATTGAGTACTCTCTCCCAAACCACCACCTTAGGGTGGTGGTCTCCACTAATTCACCAGTTCATTGTATACATTTGTTTCATTGGAAATAAACCTATTGAGCTTCAGTTGTGCGAGTCTGCTTTGCGGGTCCAGTCATTTATGATTATATGGCTTTATTTGCTTAATGTATTTATTTTGACCGTTTAAAAAACAAACTCGCAAATATGGGAGACTGGTACCATTTATTCTTAAAGCACTCGGAGAAAGGCCAGCATGTTTTATGTCACCACACGCTGACATGCTTACATACAAATGTTATTTTGTCACAGCAACTACTGAAGGACAGTGTAATGGTATTTTTGCTTTAAAATGTAAAATTGTAACTTGACTGTAAGGACCACGATACGCATGATTTCCAATAATCTCATAGATCATGAGCGGATACATTTATGAAAAAGAATAAATTTATAAAAGCTGCCATGATGCTCTTCCTCCTCCTGCTCTGGAATGGAAACACCGTGTAGTTGATCAGCATGGAAAATGTACTTACAGATCATCTGAATCATCAAGAAGATCAGACTTGGTGCAGATAAAATGAATTTGCTGACATTCGCCACCATTTCCAATCAGACTACTGACACTTTCCAGGATCTCCCAGGCCTCTTTCTCTGATGCTGCTCGATTAATTTCAGTCACAATCCACACAATAGAACAATCTCCAACAATCTGAAAGGAGAATAACATGTCTCAGTGCTTAATAGAAAGATGACTGTTTACAGACAACACAGTATAAGCAAAGAACAGTAAATGTGAATTACCCCTTTCCACATCTGATCTCTGCTCTTGTTACAGTCACCATTTCCAGGAAGGTCCACAAGTGTGACATGCTGGAGAAGAGACTTGTTTGGCACCCTGACAGTCACACACTTCACTAGTGGCCAAAACCACTTTTTTCCTTCATTACCTTCTCCTTGTTTTGAATCACTTCTTGTGTACTTGACACATTTTGCAGAAAGTTCATTAGCCTGCAATAAATAATACATTAATCCTACAGTTTAAGTGCTTTACAAAAACCATTAAAAAGTCCGTGACATAAAAAAAAAACTTAAAGAAATTGGATCACTAAAAGTTGAGTAATTAGTTTTCAATTTTAGATTTTTTTGAAATTATTTTATTTTTTGCTTTTAAATTAAACACAGCATGCTTATACAGATTCAACTGAGGACAATTACTACATTTAGCATTTGTGAACTTATAAGGAAAAAAGAAAAAGAAGGAGAAAACAGAGGACGAACAAATGATAACAATATTAACTAAATAAAGAGTAAAATAAAATAAGAAAATTCGTGCAGAGTGTGAGGCATGAATTATGATCAGTTGATTAAGAATTCTAGAAATGGCTGCCAAATCGTACAAAAACTCGCCAGTTTCCCCTTTCTATCAAATATTATCTGTTCCACCCTGGCCACAGACATCTCATTAAGCCACCTTTTAAAACACGGTGCCGAAGAAGACCGCCACTGTAAAAAAAATAAGTTTCTTTGCAGCCAGCATACCCATTGTAATTATCTGTTTTTGTGAAAAGAAAAAAAGATTCGATTGATGCAAATGATCCAATTATAGCCAGTGTACCATCAAGTGGTACTTTTTTCCTAAATTGGTTTGAAAACCACGTAAAAATCTGGCTCCAAAAAGCTTTCAAGACAACCTTCGTCAATTTTCGATTTAAATGATCAGATTGTGTCATGTACAAGCTTCCCCTTGCGTTATATTGGATCAAGACTGAGGGGAAATTTAGGTCATGTGAAACCCTTTTTAGAACAATCAACCATTTGATAGTTTTGAGAAAGTCTCTAATTATCATTCAAAACCAATTTTTTAAAAGTTTTTATTCTCTATTTAAATAACACTTACTACACTCTTGTTCTCAACAGCAGAAACTACTTCATGTGGGAATTTTGCATAGTTTTTGACCACTTTGAGATATTAATAAGCCACTTTAGACTGCTCCCTTATTTGCAAGGGATCACTACAGCGCATAACTTGGCATGTTTTGACTTTCAGGGTTTTACACCACTTTATGCCGTTCCTGACACAACCGACTGTCAGACACTAATTTACTAAAGTTTGTGGCCACTTTGATTCAATCTTTGTTGACTTTGCTCAGGAGTTAATTTCTACAGAGCGATTTAAAAAGGGTAAGTAGGTTAGAACAGGGAACTGATCACTGTCGTGTGAAGAGGTAAAGGTTCTTACTGCGATTTAAAAAAAAAACCATTAAAAAACAAAGAAAAAAAAAGAAAAGAAAATCATGCTCTACATAATGGACCTGGACCAGTCTTGGGTCCTGTTAACAACAGTTATTACAAGATCTTTTTTTTTTCTGGCAATGTGATCGTCTACATGTCATTATGGGATCTCAGTAAGATCTGTTTTGATCACTGGATCTGTTTTCAGTGTTTTGTGTTTTTTGGACTTTTTAATCTATGCTGCATGCCGTTTTCAGAAGTGAGATGGATTTCCAATTCGTAATCTTTTGTTAATTTGGTCAGTTCCCTTTTGTGTCCAAGTTGTCCTAGTTTCACCTATGTCCCCTTCCCAGTATCCCCAGTGTGTAGACTATCATGGCTGTCTGTTATAGTAGTAATATGAGTTTGTCTTACTGATTCACATCTCAAAATTTTTCGCCTGGATTGGAGAAATTCTGGAATTTCTTTGAAATATTTGTTCTCCATGAGGTTTTCAAAGGACTTCTCTTTCCATTCTTCTCCATACAGTGCTGTCAGCTTTTCAACAGCATCACGATAATCATCATCGTCTTCCTTTACCTGATCTTCATTATTGTCAAGAAACTGACGAAATGACCACAACTCATCTTTCCACTCCTACAAAAATAGATGACAAGCCATTTATTGGAGGAATGTACCCAGCCTTAAGCCCCAAGAACAGCACTATAACAAATGATTTAGTTTTAAGTACAAATCAAACTTTGAGAATTGTTTTACCTCCTTTGTGATGAACTCAATTTCTGCTTCATATTTTGTGCTACGTGTGTTAGCTTCCACTTTGATCATGACTGAGGTGCAGGCATTGATGCTTCCTGAGGGTAAAATATTCTTCTCTTTGATGATGGCATTTATCAAAGAGCTCTTTCCAGCCCCGGTTTTACCAAAGACACCAACCAGCTCCCTCTTGTCTGTCTCCAAATCACTGATCTTTTTCCTGTGGAACAAGATTTTAAATATGGGTTAAATGTTTCAGTCACAAAAACATTTTTAAGCATGCTTCAAAAGGTTTAAAAGAGAGTTATATTATTTTTAATAGTAATCACTACTAGGTATTTCAGTTTTATAGACTCGCTCCACTAATTGTGTACTGTATGTTGTTTTGATCGACACCTTCCTTTTTGTGTCAGCTAAAGTGAAAACGTTTCCTTCAAGAGTTGGTAGATACCGGGAACAGGAAAAAAATGTAGCTAAGTCACCAAAACATCCTAAAAATATCAGTCTTTGTTGGTCTTAACTTGGAAAGTTTTAGTTTACTACCGAATCATTCCGTCATCTATAATTGTGTGGCTGTAAGTCAAAAGTATGATGTAAAAATAACTAAACAAAGAACCAACACGTCAGACAGACTGACACAGGAAACTAATTGGTGACTATTGAACCAAAAGGGTTCATGTTCAGGCAGCACGATGGCATGATGGCACTGTTGTCTCACACCAC